CAAATTGTGTGAATGTGATTTTAGTGAAAATGGAGGAAAAGTGTAAAATCTTTTAGTTTTAGTTTTGTGAGTGAAGTTTTGATGAAAATGAAATGAAAACAAGTGTTGGCTAATCCGAAGGGTTCACTCCAATGGGAATGCCAAGTCAACTCAAAACCTTCCTCCAATAGAGCCTAGATGTTTGATTGGTTTATGGAAATTGAGGGACGTGGAAGTGAGGATCCAAGCATAACCTATGACAAGTTTACGGGATATAAAAGACTCACACTCCCATCCACACTCAACCCAGTCAAACTGAATGATTATACTCTAAGAGGAGGAATGAGAATGAGTTGAAGTAGAACACCCAAGAGGAAATCTCCCTTGGATTAGCTAACTAAAAATCTAGCTACTCATGCTAAAAGGAAAGACATACAATATGAAAAGAGACATGGTATTGAAATGAAATTTAAAACTTGTATTGATGCTAAAAGGAAGTAGAATACAAAGAAGAATTCATTTCATAAACATAATTAAAGCTTAAAAGGAAACCTAGTAGAAAAATTAAAGTGCAAGGACATTTGAATAAAACTTGATTACACTAGAATTAAAAGAGATTACAATGCAAGAAATAAAGATTACAATAGAACTACAACTTACTACAATGAAATGGGTGAAGAAAATGCAAGAACATCAATTTTATCTCTCTAGCACTATTCATCATCGTCCTCCTAGAACTACTCCTTAGCTTTGGTAGCCACCCTTCAAAATCTTGTGGAATGTTGAATATATGGTGAAGGAGCTCTGCATTTTCGTCCATATGGGTCCCCTACCATGTGTGTGCAGGCCTCCCATCAATAGAAGGTGAGTGGATGGCTTTGGATAGGCTAGGACAAGCTTAGCTTGCAATCACCATGGCTGCTTTCTTTTCTCCCATCCCCATTAATGTCATTGCCTTGAAAGTCTTCAATTAGGGTGTCGGAGGGATGTTAGGGGACAAGTAGAAGAATCAATTATGGGACCCCCAAGCATGTGGAGCATGAGTTGCAAGCATTCTGGGCAACACCTACCGGTAGGTTTTCATCGTTCTACTGGTAGATTTTGGCTACTAGAGTAAAAACTATTGGTAGGTCTTTCTGGTAGATTGTCTACTCTGGACCATTTTTTGTAGAATTGTCATAACATTTTATCCAACTGTCCGATTGAGCTGAAATGTTGACACAATATAGAGGACATCCAGATCTACAACTTGCATGTTTTGCAATTTTTTAGATTCAAAGTGGATCATGGTAAAAAAATGAGCAAAACCGAGGTACTGCAACCAAATGGTGCGGGTGCTGGTGCCTATGTTGCTAAGCACCAATACCTCCTTGATTTCTTTCACTTTTAAGCCTCCAAATCCTCATGTAATGTGTCCATGTCTTCACCACACATTCACACCTAGTTGCAAGATTTTGAAATCCATCATTTAAGATATAAGTACCTACAACCACAAGATTTCAACACTATTCACAACTTTGGCTAACTCTAAGTAATTAGATGCAAAGTTAAGTTAAAGTGCATGTAATGTAACACCCCGCATTTTCTTTTATATATGTATATAGATATATAGTAAATAATTGTTGTAAAAATGGGGATATGTGTAGTGATGTGTGTTTGAATTTGGTAGATGAAAAAAGGATGAACAGTGCACTGGCTGTAATATCAAGCTCGATTTCGACCTTGATGCAGTCCATATCTCTCAAAACTTAAAACATGAAATTTGTAGATCTCTCTCTTAGGATTCCATATCACCTTGAATCATCTCAATCGGAACTAGGAGGAAGGAGTTATGTCCATATTACGAAGTAGTGTCTACACTGTCCAAAAATCTGTCCGGCAGACTACCTTTCGCTAATTTCATCATAACTCTTTATTGGAAAGTCCGAATTGTGTACCGTTATTTTTGTTAGAACCCTAACTCGTATATCTTTCCAACCATATAGGTTACACCTCCTAGAAATACCTGAGTCAAATCAGTTTATTCTATGAAGTTGACCAAAAATCTGCACAATGGTGCTCCTTGGATAGTAAAGGGTTGTGCTTTCTTATTAGACCTTGAAGGTGTAAAACCCCATATGTTTACATTAATATATTAATGTACTTGTTTAGTGATTCTTCTATATGTAATGACTTAAGAATAAACCATATATATAT